GAATCCTTCAAAAAAAGGAGAATCCTAAGTAGAAAGGAGCTCACAGTTCACATAGATCATAAATCACACTACGTGCATCCCTGGCAGTGGCATCCCAGTCCTAACCATGAGATTTTGTAGATGCCAAACAATGCTAGAAAATGGGAGAAAATCTGATTCACCCACTTCAATAACAACAAGAGTTCTTGCGCTTTCCAACAGTTGTAGTTTGGAATATTCTTCCCACCAGAATGCCAATCCAGCAGTGCACTGAAACCAACTCTGCCATCGAAATAGGTTTCAAAGAGGTTGTCAAGCCCAAAAGTGATTGGGTAAAAATCAAGATCCTAATTAATCTCCTGAACAGCAAACAAGAAGGACAAGAATGTGCCCAGTAATTCCTTCAGAATACTGCAAAAGCACTCAAATAAAACACTTGTGAAGCATCCATATTATTCATGAAAAACCAAAATGCCTATTCTTAACAAAGCCTTCTCAGAGTCCATACACACTCAAAACAGGAGTAAGGAAAGGTAAAGGATCCCGGACCAATTAGTCCAGTCAGTGGCCAACTTGGAGTTGCGACATCATCTCTACTTTATTGGCAATAGGAGCGGCGTAACAGCTTCTGGAGCATGTGGCCAAGACTAAGCCGCTTCTGCGAAACAGAGCAGCACACGGAAATCGTATACCTTCCCACCGGAGCAGTGCCATATTATCTAATAACTATTGACGTGCTTTCGAACTACTAGGTAGCAGGAGCAGGGACTGAAGCAACGGGAGCTCACCCCTCACCCGCGAACCGCTGACCTTCTGATCGGCAAGCCCTAGGCTCTGTGGTTTAACACACAGTGCCACCCACATCCCCAAAACAGGGTATATCTGGGTAATTCTTTCTATGTTTTTGTTGGGGGAGAGATACAGTTCCTGGCTACAAGTTGGATAGTTATTTGCTGCTTTTGAAAAACAGCAGAGAGGTTATTGTTCACAGCCTTTAAAGAACAAAATCAACTTTTTTTTAGAGGTTTGTGGTTTGGAAGCTGATCAAAGCATGTGTTAAGAAGATGTGGTTTTATACATCTTCCTATGTTGAAAAGGAATGTTCATTCTTTACACTGGGTAAGAGAAACAGGCACCTGTTAACTTGCTCATATACAATCTAGAGTTAGGACTGAGCAGAGAAGTGGCCAAGTTTGCTGATGATGGTAGATTCTTCAGGGTCAGTAACACAAAAAAGATTGTGAAGAGCTCCAAAGGACCTAACAAATCAGAAAGAATGCTTGATAAAGCCCAGGTGTAATCTGAGTGTTGCTTAAGCTTTGTACAAGCAAACCACGATGAATGTCGGATAAACAACTCATCTGAAATGAGGAGCCATCACACTCAATATCGGGAGAGAACCTGACCAGGGGTACCAGAAAATAAGAGCGGTCCTTGGGAACAGTCAATGCACAGGAGGGGCGGTGTTGGATCCTGGTACATTCTGAAGGAAATCAGCCCTGAGTGCTCACTGGAAGGACAGATCCTGAAGCTGAGGCTCCAATACTTTGGCCACCTCATGAGAAGAGAAGACTCCCTGGAAAAGACCCTGATGTTGGGAAAGGCACAAGGAGAAGGGGACGACGGAGGACGAGATGGTTGGACAGTGTTCTCGAAGCTACGAACATGAGTTTGACCAAGCTGCGGGGGCAGTGGAAGACAGGAGTGCCTGGCATGCTTTGGTCCATGGGGTCACAAAGAGTTGGACACGACTAAACAACTAAACAACAAAAACAACTTACTCACGAGGCCTGATTAATGGAGGTTGAGAGAAGATGTATTCATCAAACACAGCAGCTTTGGGTGAGATGATTCCGCTAATGAGATGGTCCCCTGCCCTGTAATAATTCACTGGTTCATTCTGAAGCCAGATCAGATCCACAGAGCATCTACCCCGCTGTGTCCCACAGGCAGCCTGTGGCATTAGCAGCAGCAGCTGCAGAAGCAGGAGTGATGTCATCCTAGCAATGTCAGTGGCAAGTGTCCTCCCTTATGACATCAGTGACACAACTGGACTCAACACATGGATTCAGACCTAAAGGTAGGGAGAGGAAATTTCCCATGTGCACAGTCTCTGTCTGCCCTCCATCCCAGGCTCTCAGTGGCACGAGTTATACTTATTATCTTGAGAAGGGTAGGACAGGAGGTATTTATGTCACAGCTATTCTCACAAGCTCGTTGCAAGAAGTTACATCACATTGTCCATGATTGTGATGCTTAGAATATAGGTCTCAGGGGAAATTCCTAGAGCTTTGGTGTGAAGAGAGGAATTAATCATTATGATTTTGATAATTATAAAGGGGAATAAGTTTCCTATTTGCTACCTCTTGGGCTCTCTGCATGGTGCAATGAGCAGGTGGAGAGCTAGAGAGAAAACGTGTTTCTGAGAAATCACCAATAGGGCTCCATTGTCTGCCATGGACCAGTGAGGGAGCAGGTGAACTTGGAAAACGTTGTGGCAATGAAACACTTTCACATTAGGCAGGATGAAAATGTTATTTGTTTTAGACTAGTGGTTCCCAACCTTTTTTTGGCCATGCCCCACCTAAAGGTAAAAGGACCCCTGACCATTAGGTCCAGTCGTGGCCAACTCTGGGGTTGCGACACTCATCTCGCTTTATTGGCCGAGGGAGCCAGCGTACAGTTTCTGGGTCATGTGGCCAGCATGACTAAGCCGCTTCTGACGAACCAGAGCAGTGCACAGAAACACCGTTTACCTTCCCGCTGGAGCAGTACCTATTTATCTACTTGCACTTTGACATGCTTTTGAACTGCTAGGTTGGCAGGAGCAGGGACCGAGCAACGGGAGCTCACCCCGTCGCAGGGATTCGAACCGCCGACCTTATGATCGGCAAGTCCTAGGCTCTGTGGTTTAACCCACAGCGCCACCTGCGTCCCCACCTAAGCACCTCTAAAATCCTGATTCCCCACCTGAGCACCTCTAAAATCCTGATTCCCAACCGACATGTATTTCTTATTACAGTGGTACCTTGGGTTAAGTACTTAATTCATTCTGGAGGTCCGTTCTTAACCTGAAACTGTTCTTAACCTGAAGCACCACTTTAGCTAATGGGGCCTCCTGCTGCTGCCGTGCCGCCGGAGCACAATTTCTGTTCTCATCCTAAAGCAAAGTTCTTAACCCGAGGTACTATTTCTGGGTTAGCAGAGTCTGTAACCTGAAGCGTCTGTAACCTGATGCGTATGTAACCCGAGGTACCACTGTACTTCGATGCTTTGAAGCACATACATTTCAGTAATCCTCGAGTGTCAGCCAGGTGCGAAAAGACTTTTTGAGGTGCTCGCAAATGGAGAATCTTTAGGTGCGGAATGTGCCTCGCGCCCTGCTAATTTCGAACCCTGCCAGAGGGTCATCTACTCCAACCCCCCGCAATGCAAGAATCACACTAAGTGGTCTTGGCCACTTAGCAATGAACCAACTGAAGAAGATCGCAGGGGAGTGTTGTCTTGTCACCTTCATCCCCTTTCCTTCTGTCTTGCAGGTCTACAGGTGAGCACACATGTCCAGCCACAGGTGGTCCCCCCAAGAGGTGATGTATCAGGCCACTTCCCTCAAGGATACCCGGGAGAGTGACGGCGTCTCACCCAAACCCCAGAGGAAGGCTCAGGAGGGTTTGAGAGGGGGGCCAGGAGGGAATAAGGTGGTGCAACTGGCTGCCTCCTGTAGGTCTACGGCCATGCCAAGCACTATTTCTGTGGGAGAAGGCCCTGCAACTGTGTTGGGTTTATTTTCCCTCCGCAGAACGGCCAGAGAGGGCGGATGGACAGGGGAAACTCCCTCCCTAGTATGCTGGAGCAAAAGGTGAGAACCGCCCCTGGGGCCATGGGGGAATATCCACCGTCCTTTCGCATGGGGGTAATGTGTCCTGATGCGCCCACAAAGAAATGCAACCAAGCGGCCCCTTCGTTAACTTTGCTTTTCTTCCTCCCTGAAGATTTACCCTTACGAGATGTTGATGGTGACGAATCGGGGAAGAGTGAAACTGCCTCCAGGCGTGGACAGGACAAGGCTAGAGGTACAAAGAAATAGCACTGGTGCAGATCTACCTTTCTCAACCTTGACACTCTGCAAATCACTTCCTTGCTATTATCATTATCAACATCACCATTATTACAGTCGTACCTTGGATCTTGAATGCCTTGCGACTTGAACATTTTGGCTCCCAAATGCCGCAAACCCAGAAGCGAGTGTTCTGGTTTGCAAACGTTCTTTGGAACCTGAACATCCGACGCGGATTATGCGGCTTCCGGTTGTGTGCAGGAAGCCCCTGCAGCCAATCGGAAGCCGCACTTTGGTTGTCGAATTTTTACGGAAGTCGAACAGAATTCTGGAATGGATTCTGTTCAACAACCATGGTATAACTGTACTATTATTATTAATAATAATAATATATAATAATATTGTTTGTTGTTGTTGTTTTAGAAAATGTATAAGCCACTCAATTGTCAGAAAAACTCAAAAGGGCTTAACAGAAAAGAAAAAGCAATTAAATTGGCAGTAAGAAGAAATAACAAGACATTGGAAAAGTTAAGATAACCAGAGACTAAAAACATATTAAGACTCGCATCAACTTTCTAAACATGTGGACAGGCTTGTTTAAAGAAAAATGTTTTTAGCAGGTGCTGAAAAGAGTAAAGGTGTCAATAGGCATCGAGTTCCAAAGTTTGGGTGCTGCTGCACTAAAGTATCAAGTTCTTACAAATGTGGAACAGGTATGATGGGGCACTTGTATCTGTCCCTGTCCTGCTGATTGAAGCAGCAGGGGGGCCACATGTGGGGTAAGAAGGTCCAGATGTTGTTGGGCTTCAACTCCCAGCAGCCTCAACAGCCCACATGGCCAGTGGGCAGGGATGATGGGAGCTGTAGTCCAATTTCTGCAAGGCACCAGTTGGTGTGCATAATATTGAGCTAGACAAAGCACTTGTCTTGACTCAAGATAAGACAGCTTCCCATGTTCTTTGACATGAGATGCAACACCTTTCCAGACAAGCACCTTGCCTTACCCCCTATGTGCCCACTCGACCCCTTCGATCGGCAGAACCGGCATTGTTATAGGCTCCACATTTGTAGGAACTCTCTTATCTTTCAGCCTGGCAGCACCTACCCTTTGGAACTCCCTGCCGATTGATTTCAAGCAGGTGCATTCACTGTACCCTTTTGCAGCGCCTACCCAAATGTTTACGGGACGCGGGTGGCGCTGTGGGTTAAACCACAGAGCCTAGGACTTGCCGATCAGAAGGTCGGTGGTTTGAATCCCCCGTGACGGGGTGAGCTCCCGTTGCTCGGTCCCCTGCCCCTGCCAACCTAGCAGTTTGATAGCACGTCAAAGTGCAAGTAGATAAATAGGTACCGCTCCGGCGGGAAGGTAAGTGGAGTTTTCCGTGTGTTGCTCTGGTTTGCCAGAAGCGGCTTAGTCATGCTGGCCACATGACCCGGGAGCTGTACCCCGGCTCCCTCGGCCAATAAAGCGAGATGAGCGCCGCAACCCCAGAGTTGGCCACGACTGGACCTAATGGTCAGGGGTCCCTTTAACCAAATGTTTTAGAAAGTTGGTTCAGGTTTTCATTTGTTTCTAAAAAGTTATTTTAACTTTTCGTGTGCCTTGACTGCAAACCACTTGAGTGGTTTCATGAATCTTATGAAATGAACAAATACAGTGGTGCCTCACAAGACGAAATTAATCCGTTCCGCGAGTCTCTTCGTCTTGCGGTTTTTTCGTCTTGCGAAGCACGGCTATTAGCGGCTAGCGGCTATTAACGGCTTAGCGGCTTTAAGAAAAAGGAAACAAACTCATAAGAACTCGCAAGACGTTTCGTCTTGCGAAGCAAGCCCATAGGGAAATTCGTCTTGCGGAACGACTCAAAAAACGGAAAACCCTTTCGTCTTGCGAGGCATTCGTCTTGCGGGGCACCACTGTAAATGAATGAGCAAGCCTCCTTCCTTCTCTCCCCCTCCCAGCGCCACCTGTCAGCTGAGGATTTCCTGCGTGCGTTCGAGATGTCGCCGGACGAATTTGGCAAGCTGGCCCTGTGGAAGCGGAACGAGCTGAAGAAGAAAGCCTTCCTCTTCTGATCCCGGCCCCCGCGCAGAGCCGACATGCCCGGCGTGACGCTCCGTGCGTGTGTGCCGACCCGTCTTTCATCACAGACGCTTTAGGGCTACTCTCGAGCTCGTCCGGAGGGACGTTGCTCCTTTCTCCCCACCACCACCCAACCGCCCTCACTGCAGAGGTGGCTGCCATGCCTTGACTCTTGGGGGCAGAGGAAAAGTGGGTCAGGAAAAGAGTGGCGAGCACCCTGTGCTGGATGTGGCAGCGGCTGTGGGGGGTGCCAAGTCCCTTCCCCACTCCCACCCCGGTGAAAATCAGCCATGTGTGGGGTGGGAAGAGGCCAGGGTGGAGATTAGGTGTTTCTGTGCTGCCACCCTTAAGCTCATTCCGTTGCTGGCTTTACTCCCAGACCATGCATCCTCTCCCCCTGGTTTTCTAAACTTGGGCAAGAATGAGCCCCCGACTTGGTCCAGCGGGCAGATCTGAGCATCATGGCACCAGGCAGACTCCCACCCTGCAGCAGGACCAGATTGAAGAGGGTCTCTCTGCCCCAGCATCCTCTTCTCACAGGGGCAGCCTTGCCACACTCTCCCACTGATTTCCGCCCCCTTGTGATTGGTACTCAGCTGCCCACTGGATGTGCCTAGCCTCCCCTGGAGTGAACGTGACCTGGGGCTGCTTCTCATCTAAATGGCTACCAAGCAGCAGTGTGATGGCACCCTCCCCAGCAAAAAAAAACAAAAACAAAACAAAGCTTCCTTTGCTAGCTCCTGCCCCTACTGCACTGGACAAATGGAAGTATTTCGTGGCCACTCTGTAAGATGTGCTGCCTACAGGAGGAATGCAGCCACTACCACGGTGCCCGCAGGCATGGAGAAGGGCATAGAGGTGGGCTTCATTTGGAATCGAGGCATGTGTCCAGGCCCCCGTTCTGCAGGACTAGGTCACTTGGAGTCACTTCCAACTCTATGGTTCTAGTTTCTTCCCCGCTACCAAAAGCTCCCTTTGTAGGCCAGCTTCCTCTACCTGTTTCCGCCCCAGCATTCCCAACTCTTCCTGCAAGCTGGGCCTGGGCCAGCTATATGTGGCACCTGTTTCCTGCTCTCCTCTGCCCTGCCATCCCATCCATCTAGGCTGTAACATTCTTCTGTGCTGCACCTGCTGCCTGCCCCCCACCCCAAAATCTGGGGACCCCTGCCACCTACCCTGCAAGCTCTATTCAGCGAGACTGAATAGAGATGTGTCTGAAGAGAGGAATGCATTTACCTGCTGCTGTCATGCCTGTAGTTCAGGCCCGCCTCTTCAGCCTATGTGCCTCCCCCTCCACATACCCTGCACTCGTACGTACACAGATCTACCTGCCCTGTCTCCACAGCTTCACGCTAGTCCTGTGGAAAGGACTGCAGAGAAGGTGGCTTGATGCAAAGCCTGGGTATGCGTAGTGGTTAAGAGCGGTGGACTCGTAATCTGGTGAACTGGGTTTGATTCCCTGCTCCTCCACATGCAGCTGCTGGGTGACCTTGGGCTAGTCACACTGCTCTGAAGTCTCTCAGCCCCACTCACCTCACAGAGTGTTTGTTGTGGGGGAGGAATGGAAAGGAGATTGTTAGCCACTTTGAGACTCTTTAAAGGTAAAGGGACCCCTGACCATTAGGTCCAGTCGTGGCTGACTCTGGGGTTGCAGCGCTCATCTCGCTTTATTGGCCGAGGGAGCCAGCATACAGCTTCCAGGTCATGTGGCCAGCATGACTAAGCCACTTCTGGCGAACCAGAGCAGCGCACGGAAATGCCGTTTACCTTCCCACCGGAGCAGTACCTATTTATCTACTTGCACTTTGACGTGCTTTCGAACTGCTAGGTTGGCAGGGGCAGGGACCGAGCAACGGGAGCTCACCCCGTTGCCAGGATTCGAACCGCCGACCTTCTGATCGGCAAGTCCTAGGCTCTGTGGTTTAACCCACATTGCCACCTGAGACTCCTTGGGGTAGTGATAAAGCAGGATATCAAATCCAAACTCCTCTTCTTCTTCAACCCTAAAAGCTGGAGGAGTGAGAGCTCTCTTCTGCTTCAGCCACCGCAAGGCCCACAACTCTGTGCCACAGCCCTGGGTCTCTCAGAAGCTACTACAGGTAGTTTAAGTCATGCAAGGCAGCTGCATTTATGCCAAGGGACAGGAGCTTCCTAGCCGGCCCCTTCTGTCTTGGGCATAGAGGCCAGGCTCTGCAAAGGATCACCTTGGGAGTGCAGCCACTTCATGGGCAAGATCCAGGCTGCTCTGTCACTTTCTGCACCAAGACGGGCTTTCTTTCTTTAGGAGCCAAACAACCATCAGTCTCAACCCAGACTGAGCAGCGAGAGCCAGGACAGGAGACTAGGCTGTCTCTACACTGCCACACATTTCTGCTCACCAAGAGATGAGAAGCACCTGCCCACCCCCATCTCCTCCTCCTGGAGGTTTTTTGCCCATCACCATCACACTCCCCCTGCCCCAGGGAGCACACAAGTGGTTGTGTGCAATACACAAGCACCCGTGCCTGTTGAACTACCAGGGCCCACAAGTCAGCACAGTTGGACTACGTGATCCTTTGGGCCCCTTCCAGATTGTATGATTCTAGGAACACAAACCAATGTTGCACAGGCTGCTAGACATCAGCAGGGAGTTGCAGGGTTGGTTTCTGCTGGGGCGGAAAAGATCTCTCTCTCTCACACACACACACACACACACACCCCTAAAGCAAGAGGGGGGCACTGTCCCAGTGAGCACCTTCCTCCACAAAATCTACCAGCCCTTAAGTGGTGGCTTCTCACTGACTGGTAAAATTACTGAAATCTAGAGGTACTTTTCATCAGGCTATTTAAAGAGGGGGAAGAGTTTGCCAAGGAGGAGAGGGGTGCTTCAAGCCACACTTCCAAGGAACATTCCCCAATCCAGACCAGCGCCAGGCCTACCTGTCTCACTTAAGGGGTCCTGCACTGCACCAGCAAAAACCTCCCATCCACAATGCTGTCCTGGCACTTTTCAGTCTAGTAAGGGTGCTGCCATTGCATTGTGGGAGGGAGAGCAGAAGAGCCTGGAAGGGTTCGCTGCCCTTGGTGGGGTGGATCCAAAGCAGCAGCAGCAGCAGCAGCAGCAGCAGCCTAGGCCCAAGCAAATTTATCTTTTGAGTCAGGAAGATGGAGAGAGAGGTGCTTTCCCTCCATCTGGCGCCTTCCAACTGCTTTTGATGGCAGCTCCCAGCGTGCTGGCTGGAGCTCAAGGGAGCTGGAGCCCCAAACATCTGGGAAGCAGCAGGACAGCACCCTGGCCCTGAAATCCAGCCACCAAGACTGCCCAATGAGCCATTCCCCAGGGCTGTGGGAGAAACTGCCTTTCCTGGCTCAAGAGCCCAGTGTTCAGCTCACGCCTTTTCCCTCCACACAGCCCCTGCCATGCTGCCCCCCTTACATCTCCCTCCTGGCCACTCCACTTTGTGCAAATGTAAAGAATGTAATTTATTAGAAGTCACCGGCCTCTACTTGCTTTTCACTGCTATTCTGTGAGCATATCTATAAATAAGGACCTCCTAGTGCGAAGAGCGGCCTACCCTATTCACCACCCACTTCGGCTGATGTCAGAATCTGTGTGAAAATGATTTCCTCTCTAACCCCCACCCCCTTTTAATTAAATGTGAAGTGGCTTTATTCAAAAAGGTCTTGTCCTTGCTTTGTTATTTGTTTGTCAGGACTGATGTAAGAGCTGCACACACTGTTAAGTCCTTTCTAGCCTCTCCTCTGTTTATTATTTCATAAAAACTATGCACCGTTTGATCATTAAAAACAAAACAAAACCTCCAAGCAATTTACAAACAGAATGAAATAAAATAATTACTAGTAAAAACCCTAAAGCAAAACAATAAATTGAAAACAGATTAAAACATATAGCAATATTCTACATGTCTGGGTAGCCTTGTCTAAATAAAAATCTTCTGGGCACAGAACCAGAAAGAGTACAGTGGAAGCACCTGCCTGGTATCAAATGGCAGGGAATCCCAGAGTGTAGCCGCTGCCACACTAAAAAATCAACTTCTTACAAATACGAAATGAGTATTATATGGAACCTGTAACAGTGCCAGTTCTGTCAATTGAGTGGGTATCTATGCGCTAATGTGATCTTGCAAGTAGTGCAAATCTCTGAGCAAAGGTGTTCTATGCTGACAAGGCCTCACTCTGTCAGCAATTGTGCTGCAGCATTCTGCACTAACTACAGCTTCCAGATCAAGCGCAAGGGAAGCCCCACACAGAGGGCATTGCAGCGTTCCAGTCTGGAAGTAACCAATGCAGGAAAAAGTGAGAAATGCTCACTAAGAAAACGTTTCGATGAGGATAGAGGGAACTGGTCATTTTTCAAGCCCTCCCTGGCACATTCCTCCTAAAAAAAAAAAGAAAAAAAGACACTGCCCAGCCACTTCTAAGACAACAGACCACAGGCACTAGAAGAGAAATCTAGCAATCTACTCTGAGACTGCACACTATTCTTCCTGAGCCAGACTGGGCCTTCAGGTAACTGCACATACAACCTGCTGAAAGAACACAGAAGAAGCTGCTGGATGAGGCCAAGGACCCATCTAGTCCAGCACCCTGTTCTCACAGTGGCAAACCAGATGCCTCTTCTGGGAAACTTGCAAGCAGGATTCAAACACAATCACATTTTCCCCTCCTGTGGTTTCCACCAGCTGGAATTCAGAAGCATTGCTGCCTCCGACTATGCAGGCATTGTGGCTGGCTGCCATCGATAGCCCTCTGCTCCATGAATGTGTCTAATTCTCTTTTTAAGCCTTCCACGTTGGCAGCCAACACCACTTCCTGCAGGAGCGAGTTCCATAGTTTAACTATGTGCTGTGCGAAGAAAAATGCTCACTAAGAAAATAGTTCGAGTAAAGGGTTTTATTTCATCCAAATCCAGCCAAGCTCCTGGACCAGCCACCATTGTGATGAGAAGACCACATTCCCAGGGCCATGCCTACCTTCCATGCCAATCACTTGTCAGTCTTCCTAATGGGATTCAGTTGAGAATTACTTTGCGTGGAGGGCGATTTAGACTTCGTTCTTTTCAAGGTCATTCGACAATGACCTGGTCGTGTCAGTCCAGCTTCAGGCATCACCCACAAAAGGCAGGCTGATAACAGGAGCTCCACCAACCCATTATTTCAGCCAGATCCATTTGTCGCCAGCCTCAGCGTTGTAGCCTTGTTCGTATTTACGTCCAGGAAGCTGCAGTAGAAAGCACAGAAGATCCATGAGGATAAGGGCACAGCTTCACTCTTGTCATCACTATCCTCAAAAATATAAAAGCAGGCTTGCTGGATCAGGCCAAAGCATCCTGTTCCCACTGTGGCTAGC